AAAAAAAAAAAAAAAAAAAAAAAAAAAAAAATCACTTGCACACCTCGCAAATCGTCATTGTTAACGAACGCCTACTTAGCTCACACATAGAGAGGACTTGTCAAAGTCGATAAAGTTTCTAAGTCAGTTCTTTATAACCGCTCTCTAAAAAAACATCGCACGTGGACACTCTCTCAACCAACCAACGTCGTCACAAACCTTGGGCATGCACACACGTGAGGTATACGCCGCGCAAAATTTCGTCGTGTGAATTTTAATGACTTTACTGCCGAGCCCTCCGGACATGCACCAGACATGTCGCAACTGGTTTGTACTGGTGTACAATATCTCATGTTTATATTTTGGGGTAACCAAGGCGCAGTCATGTTTTTAGTTTTAAATGAAGTTCATACATCCCTCAAATAGAACACCCAACCCAAAAGTTGGGTTGTATACATTCATGATTTTTCTCACTTTGAAGTAATGTTTGTGAAATCGTGACTGAAACGCGTTTAAAACTGAAAACCATTACTGGGGGTGGAGGGGGGCGGTGGAGGGGGGCAGTGGAGGGGGGGGGGGGGTTGAAGTATCGCTGAAATTTTCATTTATTTTCAGTTTGCCCTCTTGACGATCGACTTACCTTGATTTTCCCATCTGACAACGATTCAAGTTGAAACAAAAACCTGACATCATTTGGGCTTGAAATATGTTCAACATGCCCCCTTCCCGTACTCGTGCCAAAATTCCAATATGCCCCTACCAGATAGTCGTTGAGGAATTACGTCGGCCGAGGTTATAGGGCTAGACATGAATGCGAGGGAATATTACGAATGACGTGATAAATTACGTCACCAACGATGAAGGAGGAGGAGGAGGAGGAGGATAGGGGTGAAGGAGGAGGTAGAGGAGGTGGGGGAGAAGGAAGACGGGTGAAGTTTAAAATGTCAAGCGATGGGGGAAGTAATGAAAAATGAGGAAAACGACATAAGAGGAGAGAGAGAAGCCAAGGTGGGGAGGGGGAGGAGGAGGAGGAATGAGTACCAGAAGCATTGCTATCGAGTAGGAAAGGATGAAGTGCAAAGGGGCAACGTGTCTGCTGGAAAAGATTGCGGT